TGAATGATGGGGGTGGGAGGGGCGAATGACACTGACAGCGATAAGTGTAATGACGTTTCACTTCTTACATAAGGCCAATTTCTTGAACATAGAAATGTGAAATAAAATGAATCAATGTTCTTTAGGCTGAATTAAAAGCTGAGGTACGTAACTTTCAGGGCACAACAATGGAATTATGTGAAAAACCCATGTAGTAAGTAAGTAAGTAAGTAAGTAATGTTTATTTATATACCGCCTTTCACAGACAAGGGTCACAAAGCGGTTTACAATTGTTATTATTTTTTTGGGCAATTGTCCTCTCACTCCACACAGAGATGGGAGCGGGGTCGCCAGTACAGGAGGCGCATGCACAGTCCTATTGTACATATTTTTAGTGTCTTCAGTTCCTGGCTATACAGTTGTTTCTATCACTGGTAAAGATGTGACAGACGCCAAACACATACAACATCAGCTTTTTCAGACAGAAAAGGTAAAAAAGAGAGGACCAGCGGCTCTACTCCGAGCTCCTCCCATTTGACTGAACTCCTCACCCTATCTCAAAAGAGAGCGCCTAGCCACTCTGCGGAGGAAGCTAATTTCTGCTTTTACCCACAATCTTGTCATTTGGTCATCAACCAAAGCTCATTGACATTAAGCTTTGTCAACCACAAGTTATTTTCCTAAATATTTCTCAATACAATGAGTTCACAAGAGTTTGGCCATAAAGTGGCACACACTGTGTGAAGAAAAAATAAATATGGCCTGTTGTGGTGTGTACTATTTGATTTGTTCCCAACATTTTACATTGGTGCACAACCAACATGCATGGAAAAAAATGTAGGTACCCGAGCTTTAATTTTGTAAAATTTGGTTGCGCTTAGTCATTTTGACTAATGAACATAATTAGTCAAAATGATAAGCTCCCGGCTCCAGAGGGAAAGTATTTGGTTCAAAGAAGGAGAATGGGGATCGACTTTGTTCACGGGGATCTACCTTGTATCTGAACAAGTCTGAAATCTGCAACAAAACTCGCAGATGTTTCTTTGCGAGTAATGGTGACACCCAGTCAGTCATAGCTGCACCCAGTACACAGAGCACCAGCCCCTCACTGATCCTCCTGCAGGTGATGAGTCCACAGGAGCTGAGATCTTTCAGCGGGGGCTTTGGGCAAAGTGGGGTTAAGTGTCTTGCTCAAGGACACAACGACAGCAGTCATCAGTGGGAGTCGTGAAGTAGGTCTCATGGTGGATTTGAACCTACGACCTTCAGGCCCAAAGGCTGATGCTCTACCAACTGAGCTACTGTCGCCCTAGTATTTAAGTTATCATTTTAGTAAATCACATGTGGCTAAAATATATTGTAGAAAGCTTGTATTGTAATTCACTTTTGGCTCCGGAAAGGCTTCAGGAAGTCTGGGGAGACTCATATGTTAAATAAGGAAGGTCTTGTCATTGTTCCTTGCTCTGTTGCTTCTTCCTTTCCTATCTGCATATGAAGGTGTCTTCTAGTATGAAAGGAGCTTCAGATCTGTTCTGAGCGAGGCCGAGCTGTTGTGCTTAGTCTCTGTCAAGACATTTTCTCCTTGTACTGGGTAACAAGTAAAAGATGAACTATGTCTGTTTGTTGTGTGAGATTTTGTAAGGTTCAACTGTGGTTAAATATCAGCATTAAAACTGCGTCACTGTGCGGGCTGGGGGAGGCGGGCTCACAGGCTGAAGAGCACAAATCCATGCGTTTCACATGAGGCGACATCACCTCTATGCACGAAATGGCTATAATTTGACAAGATTTGAGTGTTTTATAGTGTATCACCCAAATTATTATCACACATGTGCATAGGATGGACTGTGAAAAATGAAGAAAAGCTAAATATGGCACCTTGTAATAAATCACTTGTCCGTCACAAATCTTTAGTTGCCCCGGGCAAGCAGACAACAAGTAATGTCGAGCCCTGCCATAGGTGAGGTAGGGAACGAAGATGGACCGGTAAATCGAGATTGCCTTCGGCTCAGCTCCCTCTTTACCACAACGGTCCGATACGCACACTGCACCGATCCGCCTGTCAATCTCACGCTCCATCCTTCCCTCACTCGTGAACAAGATCTTGAGATACTTGAACTCCTCCACTTGAGTAAGCCAGAGTGAACGAAACCGCCTAGGTTTGGTTCACTCAGTCTCACACATGGGAATTCACTCAATAAGATCATTAAAATGAGCAGCAGAATCATTGGACCGCAGCAAAACCCACTCACAGCCATTTACCATAACAACGTTTTAAGGAAGGAACAGGAAAGGGCCACATCCAGCTTCCCCCCCACCGAAACTCGCCTTTTAAACAGCTGATTTGGAGACCTGCTTTATGTATTCTATATTGCATTTCTGCTTGTTTACTGTATTTATATTTAGATCTTGTGTTTCTGTGTTTTTATTTTTCCCCCACTGGTCTGTAAACAAAGTTCCGTACGGATGAATGAATGAGTTATTTGAATTGAATTCCCTTGAATTGAGGAAGGACCGCTCCACCCACTTGGAGAGGGCAAGGCAGGTGCTGATTCTTATCCCAGGTGCTGATTCTCATCCCAGCTGCTACACACTTGACTGAAAACTGTCCCAGTGCATGTTGCAGGTCCTGGTTTATTTGAGCCAACAGGACAACATCATCCGCAAACAGCAGAAATTAAATCTTGTGGTCTCTCAGAACCAGACCCCCTCCGGCTCCTGGCTGCGCCAAGCAATTCTGTCCGTAAAGACAGTGAACAGAACCGGTGACAAAGCCAACATGCACTGGGAACAGATCTGCCAGCGATGCGAACGCAGCTCTGGCTCCGGTCATACAGGGACCGGACGGCCCCCAGCAGAGGACTCCGGATTCCGTATTCCCGGGAGAACCCCCTCAAAGGACACCCCGGGGAACACGGTCGAACGCCTTCTACAAATCAATGTCCCCCTCCTCCCCCGTGACCTGTGAGAAGCTCTCCCGGAGGAGTGCTTCAGTCCTGCACCGGACCTGTCCATGTTCAGCGGCCACTGGTCCACGTTCTGTAGCTAGCTTAGGTCCTGGATCATTAGCCTGGCCGTCCGGAGGAGCGGATCCCTTTCTCATATGGGTCTCCCTCCCTGTGGGTTTCCCTAGTTCTCCCCAAGGTTTCTCACTTTTTCCCACTGGGTTTTTTAAGAGTTTTTCCTTGTCGATGCAGGAGGGTCTTGTTGGACAGTTAGTGTCCAACAGAAAGGATTGGTGATGATCAGGACACTTTAGCATTCTACAACATGTATGGACATTTTCTTCTGTGTGTGCTTTATATTTTTCATGTGTTTTAACTGTTGATTCTCTGACCTGTGTTGGTGATTTCAATGGTTTTGTTAAGTCCTCTGAGATTACTTCTGTTCCTAGGACTTTAAAAAGAATAAATTGTATTGTATTGTATTATCTGGTGTCACATGCACTGGTGGACACCCTTGTGCTCGAACATGGTGTCTGTGATGGACAAACTGTGACTAGCACAACAACTGAACACCGCTCAAGTTCAGATCAGATCTGATCAGAAAACTACAGAATTTACTTTTAATTTCACTCTTTCTGTTGGGACAAACAAACGTTATTTCATCTGAAATGCATGCACTTCTTAAATACATTTTTCATTGTTATCGTTTGCTCAAAGTATTGAACATGTTACTGTGCTCTAGTTCAAACAGCCAAAATTGGGAACATTGTGGAGTGGATTTACTTTAATACTACTAATAGTACTAATAGTTTACTTCCATTTTCCAGCGCCTAAGTAGCTCTGAAACAGTTGTTGTTTTACAATTGTAATTTTTGTGTTTTATAATTGTTATCGTTCTTGCTTTTATCTACCTGAGATGTTGTGTTCATGGTTTAACACTGGTAAAAATCTACTGGATGAATGCTAACTTTTGAAATACGATGATGCATTTCGCATTTTACTTTGGACTAGAGCAGAGAAAAATGGTCTGAAACAAGCGGCTACTCCACCTTGGGACCTGTCGTGCTCCATCTAGAGGCTACTCCACCTCTGCTGCTGTGACCAGTCCTGCTCCACCCAGAGGCTACTCCACCTCTGCTGCTGTGACCTGAAGGTTGCTACTATTGTTAGCTTTTTAGAATGATCAATTTTATTTTTGCTGCTACTGGACACCTGAATTTCTCCTACAGGGATCAATAAAGTATCTATCTAATGAGATTGGCAGTATGTGTTCTATTACTTTCTGAAGAGTGCTTCTATGGCCTGAAATCGCTTTGGTTTGACCTCAGAGGAAAGGACAGGATGTGATCTTGAACGTACCTTTGACACATGTGGGTTTGCTCACAGTCACTTTGGAGCCCAGACCAAGCTGGCCCCAGTTATTGCTGCCGAACACATACAGCTTCCCATTGTCTGTGGAGGCAAACCACTTCATTAAGAACATGACCTCCACAATCCAGGACCCTTTCTATACAGACAATAGGCACATGTATGAAAACTTGGTTTAGAACTAATTTAGTTCTGGTTTGGACCAGGTGTACCCCTAATTTTTCCTGGTGATAATCATAGTTTACTATAATAATCCTTTTACAATCCTTTCCCCTGGTAGTAGAGTATCTGTAAACTACACTACTGCTAAAATAAAAATTGTGAATAATTATACAAATATTCTAGTAATTATCATTACTCTAAAAGTACGAGTATTCGTACCTGTGATCACAGCCGTGTGCTCGTCTCCACAGGCAACTTTCAGCGGGACGTCGTTCTTCAGCCAAAACTTACTGGGAATGTTGTCTGCAAACTTGCTCTTTCCAAATGTGAAAACGGCTCCAGTTTCTGTCGTGAAAAAGTCAAAATAATTCTCAGTAAAAATGTGTAAGAGTGCTGTGAGTCACTGTTCGAGCTGAGAGATGGTTTTTCACTGAGGTCTGTTTCCTTCACATTATACTTTGTCCTCTCCTTATTCGGACAAACTACAAAGCTATACATTAAAGAAAAGGTACCCAGAATAACATCGCAAGTCTCATGAGGACCGTCATCAGTTATTCACTATAATAAACATTTTGCAAAATTTTACGCAGCCCAAATGCTGATTAACTGGAGACACTCAAGTCTGCATTATAAATATTTGCATAAATAACGAAATGCTTCCGATGACTGCGCGCTGATGCTAACAGCTCAAGCTAACGGTAAAGTTTATGCTAGTAAAGCTAATGTTCGCCCTACGCTGAGCGCGTCGTGCTGCGGTAAAGTAACAAGAACGTAAGTCACCGGGAATCTGGTCCTCGGCCTCTCCAGCCATCTCCCGTAGCGCATTCACTTTAATCCGCTTTTGGTTGGTCATTGTACAATCCTGGAACCCGGATGAACACATTCGGTCTCCATGGCAACGGCCACGTGACATATTCGAAAGAAGCTTAAATGTGATGCATTTCTAAATACATGATCGTAAGCTACATTTAAACTGTTGAGAAGCTATGATCTCAGCCATTTCACAGGTACTTTGACAATGATCCATGTTCCAAAACATCTACATTACTGCAGAACACATGGAAAGGAAATGGCCAAGTGAAATGCTTGAGCTTTTTGTATTCAGATAAGATTTTATCCCAGTGCTGAAATTTCACCAGTATTACAAAAAAAAAAAAAAAGTTCTATTGCTAATGTATATTGTACGTCAGCAGCCAATGAGCAGAATAAACTCCTTCACAATTAAGGGAAGGGGGTCCAGTTGAGATACTAACTAAACCCTATCTGTTCTGACTGCCCTTTATGAAGTAAATAGGGCTTTGATTACATTAACCTCAGTAAAGCACCCTGGATTCAAATTAGCCAATTCATTCTATCATTGACTAACCATTTTATAAGACAGACACAGAAGTTTGTTTAATCAGTTTATTGAAACTGAATACAGCTTAAAGGAATGTAGATCATTCAGCCAGGGTTAATTTGATGGTGTTTCAATACTCTTCTCCATCCTCCTCGTCTCCCTCGACGCTGTCCATGCCCACCTCTTCATAATCCTTCTCCAGAGCTGCCATGTCCTCTCTGGCTTCAGAGAATTCTCCCTCCTCCATGCCCTCACCCACATACCAATGCACAAAGGCCCTCTTGGCGTACATCAGGTCAAACTTGTGATCCAGTCGAGCCCAGGCCTCAGCTATGGCTGTGGTGTTGCTCAACATGCAGACCGCACGCTGTACCTTGGCCAAGTCTCCTCCTGGGACCACGGTGGGTGGCTGGTAGTTGATTCCCACCTTGAAACCTGTGGGACACCAGTCTACAAACTGGATGGAGCGTTTGGTTTTGATGGTAGCAATGGCAGAGTTGACATCTTTGGGAACAACATCTCCACGATACAAGAGACAGCAGGCCATGTATTTACCGTGACGAGGATCACACTTTACCATCTGATTTGCCGGTTCAAAGCAGGCATTTGTGATGTCAGCTACAGACAGCTGCTCATGATAGGCCTTCTCTGCAGAGATGACTGGAGCGTAGGTGGCCAGAGGGAAGTGGATACGAGGGTAGGGCACCAAGTTGGTCTGGAACTCTGTGAGGTCCACGTTTAGAGCTCCATCAAAGCGCAGAGAGGCAGTGATGGAGGACACGATCTGGCCGATCAGCCGGTTCAGGTTAGTGTAAGAGGGGCGTTCGATGTCAAGGTTCCTGCGGCAGATGTCGTAGATTGCTTCATTGTCCACCATGAAGGCACAGTCTGAGTGCTCCAGAGTGGTGTGGGTGGTGAGAATGGAGTTGTACGGCTCAACTACTGCAGTGGACACCTGGGAAACAACAATTAATATATTATACAATGTGATGGTCAAAGAAACACACATTCCCTTCATTATCAAGCTAGTGAGCAGACAGATGTGAGCCACCCAGCCTCTATTTAAATGCATCCTGTAATAAGAGTTTCCATAATGGAGCAAGAAACCCACCTGAGGAGCTGGGTAAACTGCAAACTCCAGCTTGGACTTCTTGCCATAGTCGACAGAGAGGCGCTCCATCAGCAGAGAGGTGAAGCCGGATCCAGTGCCTCCTCCAAATGAGTGGAAGATTAGAAAGCCCTGCAGTCCAGTGCACTGGTCGGCCTGAAGGCAGAGCAAACAGGTCAGAAGCCGACCATCATGTGACAAATCTGCACAGAACCTGTACTCACGAGTTTACGAGTTCTGTCGAGCACAACATCGATGATCTCCTTGCCGACAGTGTAGTGGCCACGGGCGTAGTTGTTTGCAGCGTCCTCCTTCCCAGAGATCAGCTGCTCAGGGTGGAACAGCTGTCGGTAAGTCCCAGTGCGCACCTCATCTGTAAGAACAAGCCAGGTCAAAAACAATTGACAATAAACTTAAAACAAACTACTGCCCAATCACAGGGGGCCTGAAGTAGCTTAACAGTCTTTGAACATTTTACAGACTGACACTAATTTAGTTTGAGCTGTAACGCACGAGAAGAGAACTCTACTACCAAGGAATTGAAAGTTTTTAATTTGGCAGCAACAAACGCCCTTAGTTTTCGTTGACTTACTATAACAGTCCACACTACCCTAATAGTTCTGCACACCTCACCTATAACCGTTGGCTCCAGGTCCACGAACACAGCTCTAGGAACGTGCTTCCCAGCTCCAGTCTCACTGAAGAAGGTGTTGAACGAGTCGTCTCCTCCTCCTCGTATCTTGTCGCTGGGCATCTGGCCGTCCGGCTGGATCCCGTGCTCCAGGCAGTACAGCTCCCAGCAGGCATTGCCCATCTGGACTCCGGCCTGGCCAACATGCATTGAAATACACTCACGCTGGAAAGACAAGGGGCAAAGGTTAAGACTCATTTAAATATTGGTACATAGCACCAATTACTCAGGAAGTTTGTGTGCAGGACAATGGCACACTCGTTGCCCTGTTTCTTTAAGTAAGCCCAAGGCCAGCTGTATATACAGTGAACTAGTGTAATTAATAATGGCATGTTAAGTGAGTGCCAAGAGAAAGAACTGTATAAAAACTAAGTGTTATAATATCAGGAAAGTTTAGAATTTAGAAAACGATCGAAATCTACAAGGAAAGAAGGTACCGTTACCCGATTCAATTTCAACTACACATAGATTAGACCCTGTAGCACCTAAAGTCATAGTTTGGTAAACTTGTGAAGTGAAAAATGCAGAACCAAAATAAACGTTAAAACAGGGGCTGCAAAATGTTAATTCAATGAAGCGCGAACCAAAGTCAATAATCCAACTAATGTTTTGGGACTTAAACATGTGCATGAAAGCTGCCTTAGCGCAAAATGAGAAATTTATGAAGGACAATTGAAAACATTGAAAAGTTGAATACTGCGCTGTCTGAATGTAAACCTTAATGCGTTACGTATAAACTAGTCGGTATATTTAGTGACAAAGGAATTGCAAATTAAACGTCTAGGAATCCAGGCCATGTGCGAAATCTTGATTTTTTTTTGGCTCCATCTTAGGACATTTGGGCGGGAGACTGCACTGAAATGCCGCGTAATGATAAAAAAAAAAAAAAAAAGGCAAGGTCTGAAAGCCGGTTTGAGCCTGTGCAGGATCACTCCCCTCCCAAACAGAGACCCAGACACTAGTAGAGGCAAATCCACTCCACACCGCCAGGGAGGGGGGAACCAGTCCACAATCCAGGCCGGAAAAGGCGCGCCTCCCTCCCCCCCTATATGCGCAAACAGCACGGGGGCCTTTATCGCATGGCGCCTCGTGGTTTCGGTTTAAATCTCTGATCCCCAAATACGCCAATCCAGATCACGCCCAGGTCAGCTGCGTCATTGAAACGATATAGTTATAACTTGCCATAAAGAGTATTTTTGCCAAATCATCACACAGCGCTGCCAGCCTCCTTAAGTAGAATCCATTGTTGAGGCCAGTTTTATAAAAATTATTTCGATATAAATCGAGCCTCTGCCAATCACACAGCGCTGCCAGCCTCTTGCCAACCCACTGACGGGCAGCAAGCGGGCAGTTTAAAAGCAGCAACTTCCTGATAAACAGCGCTTCCTGAAGATCTTAACACCCAGCGCCTCCTCAAGCTCCTGCCTTGGTTCCTGCCCTGGCTCCAGCCCTGGCTCCTGCTCCGCCTACGCCCCATTCACACCATGCTTCTAGCCACCACCAGTGCTTGACCCCCAGGGGATCTGAGATCATCTTCAGCAGCAATGATCTCCCCTCTGCAAGTGTCACTGCCGGGGTCAATGCGCCAAACAAAATTCTTTTTCATCCATTAATGTGTCTGTCTTGGTCTCTTCAGATTGTACAGTATGTATTGGTCCATAAGGAGACCAATGTCCATGAATTTTGAAAAATGTCCATACAGACAGACTGCAACCCACAGAGACTACAACACAGACAAGGCACAGAGAGAGATGCAGTGTTAGCAATGCTAAGCGAATGTCAACAGCTATTAAACCACAGCAGAGGAGAGAGTTGTTGCCGCCGTAGCTCCTCATTAAGGCAGGACTCACACAGATGTGTTGCTCTGACACAGGTGTTACAAAGATGTGTTGCTGTAACTCACAGATGTGTACAGATGGCCCTCCCCGTTCATGGCGATGTAGAGTCCGGTCTTGCTGGACTGAATGGCTACAACTCTCAGTCCCACTGGAATCAGGTTGAACAGAGCTGTGGACAATGGAAATATTAGAATTATTCAAAACCTTTTTAAACTGTGCTAGATATATTTAACAAATTCAGGGGGGAGGGGGGATACAGGTGTTTCTTTTTTCATACACCAGAACATGAGTCAAAGAATAAAGGTTAACAAACTAGTAAACACACAGAATAAACATCATACAGATTAATCATCAGTCATTATCAGTCCTGCCCTGGCTCCTGCTCTGGCTCCAGCCCTAGCTCCTACTCCTGCTCCGCCTACGCCCCATTCACACCATGCTTCTAGCCACCACCAGTGCTTGACCCGGGGATCTGAGATCATCTTCAGCAGCAATGATCTCCCCTCTGCAAGTGTCACTGCCGGGGTCAATGCGCCGGTAGCTAGTCCATTTGATTTCTCCTGTGGTCTTGAGCTTATTTACCTTTCATATAGACATGTATAGTGTAGTTTAACATACATAGACAAATTCGTAATTGTTTTAAATATGCTCACGCAGTAGAATTGAATATGTATTTATAGGACTTATAGGACAACCACAAGATGGCGCTGTTGCTTTCCTTCACTAGCGAGACAAAGGCCGCATCCAAATCCATCCTAATATCTTCTTTTTTATCCTTCCTTTACCTATTATATTACTTTCTATGATACAATCAATAACTTGACCAAACAATTAGTTTGGTGAAGTTAAAGATGTTATAGTAAAGACGAGGTTGATGCTGCTTAGTTCAAAGTAGGTCAGTATAAGTGAGGAGGCTTATCAAGTTGCTTATGTAAGACCACATAGAAATGAAATAAAAAAAGAAACTGCCTTCAATGTGGAGTAAAGAGTGCTCCTTCTTATACATTTTTGGAACGCCCACATGTTGGTTGGCTGAGAAGACATCTTCAAGCTTTTCTAGTGAATAGATCAACTCCAACAATATGAACCTTGGCGTCTCCGTGTTTGCCGACCCCAGAAGTGGACATCTCTGTGATCTCACATGGACGTCCTTCAAACATCACATGTCCATCCTTTCTCAAGGTGGAAACCTGTCGGAGAATGGTCTCACGGTCCCCAGCGCTCTTGAACTCCGCTGTGGTGTCTGTGTGAGAGCGGCAGAGAGTGGAATACTGAGGGTGGTTCCAGGTTTGAGGAGGAGTAGGACATACTTTTCCTTTTGTATTTAGTGAATCATTTGTTTGAAATGTGTTTAGTAGCTACACAGTAGCGACAGTAGCTCAGTTGGTAGAGCATTGGCCTTCAGGCCTGAAGGTCATGGGTTCAATTCCCACCTCTACACCTTCTCCACCGACTCTCCCACTGATGACTGCTGTCGTTGTGTCCTTGGGCAAGACACTTAACCCCACTTTGCCCAAAGCCCCCATTGAAAGATCAAAGCTATGCTCACACTCAGAGAGCAGCCGTCCTCCTGTGGACTCACCACCTGCAGAGGATCAGTGAGGGGCTGGTGCTATGAGACTTGGGTGGCATCTCTGATTGCCACCCCCCTGACCCAGAAATGGATTAAAGGGTAGAAAATGGATGGATGGATGGTGTTTAGTGACATGTTTTATTGCGTGGTCCAATCAGAAGACTGTATTCTGAAGACTAGGAATACAGACACAACGTGAACAGAGCCTATGAATCAGTCTTACAACTGTTACGGATGGAATCACCATGGCAACAAAAACACATTGATTCTCATTCAACTTGTACTGTCTTCTTAATGTCTGTAGTATTTTTATTTATTTATTATGTTTTTGCAACTGAAGAGTGTGTTTGTGTTTTATTTCATCAAGAGACTCTAGACATTCCTGTGTAAACAACAAGTACAGCCAGACAAATCAGACAGACCAGGACCAAAAGGACAATTATCAAGAGTTTCAAGACACGACGGCGCTAACTAGCCTCCATCTTATACAAGAATTGTTGTTAGAAAGCTCTCAGAGGAACAGCACTTGGCTGGTTTAACCCTTTTAAATCAGAATGGTATCAATTTGTTAATGTGAACCAAACTCCTAACACAAAGTTGGGTGTGTTAGAAGGATCGGTACTCGGCCCCATTCTCTTCACACTCGACCTACTGCCGACCTGCTAGACATCAAAAGAAACGTGATATTAACTTCCACTAGTGCCTACGAGAAGGATCTAAAAACTTGCTCATCCTGGTCAACTCTTTCTACATCATACAGTACAGACCAAAAGTTTGGACACACTTTCTCATTAACTCATTGTGTGCCATTGACGCATTAATCCGTCAATTGCCTTTTTCGCTATTTTCACGTTCCCAGATGTCTATTGTATCTAATATGTATGGGGATGACTTGAGACCATATTTTATCGAGCCAGCAGGTGGCAGCATTGCTCTCTGAATGGTTTGAAAACATGTAGGTGCACATGTTGTGCCTCTTTTTTCTCAACTTTCTGGTGATTTCTGGTGATTTCAGTAAAACTTTCCTCTACTCGACGGAGGATTACAGGGGAACAAAAAAAGCTATAAACAAAATTCTTTTTGTTGAGGAAAGTAGACAGTCCATTCTTTTAGAATCTGGTGTCGGATTTCAGATAGTCATAGTACACAATATTCTGTGGGTCTTGAAAAATCAGTAAAAATCATCAGAAATGGCTGGCACTGTGGGAGTACCTGTTCTGAAATAGGCTGGCATTCAATTTTAAATGAGTTTCTTTTCTTTTCATGACTATTGACTGTAGATTCACACCAGGCTGTGTAAGGGCTGTTTGACCAGTAAGGAGAGTGATGGGTGCTGGGCCAGATGACCTGGCCTCCACAGTCCCCGCACCTGAACCCAATCCAAATGGTTTTGGGGTGAGCTGGACCACAGAGTGAAGGCGAAGGGGCAACAAGTGCTAAGCATCTCTGGTAACTCCTTCAAGACTTTTGGAAGACCATTTCAGGTCACTACCTCTTGAAGATCATCAAGAGAATGCCAAGAGTGTGCGAAGCAGTAATCAGAGTAAAAGGTGCTACTTTGAAGAACTTAGATTATAAGACATATTTTCAGTTGTTTCATACTTTTTTTTAGTACGTACATGAGTTAATTCATTGTCTTGATGCCTTCAGTGTGAATCTACAATTTTCATACTCATAAAAATGATAAAACTCTCTGAATGAGGTATGTCCAAACTTTTGGTCTGTACTGTACATGTTTATTATCCATATCTGTGTCACATTCATGGGTTGCATTTCCTTCAGACGGACTTGCGTTAGTGCTGTCGTCTTTGGTGCCGTCCAGCGCTCCGTCTTGCGCCATCTGTAGATAGAATCCTTGTCGACAGAAGAGCCGCGTCACGATTCCTTTCAGCTGCGGTTCTGCAAACGAGAAGAATGTGTTCAGAGCGAGGAACACTATGCATAAAGATAGCGAAACAATCTGTGGAGCCGTGTTTGCGTGAATGAAACTCTTTCCTTTTAAAACATATTTTGGAAAGTCAATATTTCTGTATGTGGAAGAGAAACTTGTAGTAGTACATTATGAAGATATACCTCTTGAAGCTTGTATGTTTTTTTTATCTGCTTTATTTACTGTATGTACACTCAACAAAAATATAAATGAAACACTTTTGTTTTTGCTCCCATTTCCATGAGATGGCCCTGAAGATCTCAAATTCATTCCAGATACACAATATTACCATTTTTCTCAAGCATTGTTCACAAATCTGTCTAAATGTGTGATAGTGAGCACTTATGCTTAGCTGAGATAATCCATCCCACCTCACAGGTGTGCCACATCAAGATGCTGATCTGACATAATGATAAGTGCACAAGTGTGCCTTAGACTGTCTACAATAAAAGGCCACTCTGAAATGTGCAGTTCTGTCTCACAACAAAATGCCACAAGCATTGAGGGAGCGTGCAATTGGCTGACAGCAGGAATGTCAACCGGATCTGTTGCTCGTGCAGTGAATGTTCAATTCTCCACCATAAGCTGTCTCCAAAGGCGTTTCAGAGAATATGGCAGTACATCCAAACAGCCTCGCAACCGCAGACCACGTGTAACCACACCAGCCCAGGACCTCCACATCCAGCAGGTTCACCTCCAAGATTGTCTGAGACCAGCCACCGAGACAGCTGCTGAAACATTGGTTTGCATATAACCAAACAATTTCTGCACAAACTGTCAGAAACCATCTCAGGGAAGTTCAACTGCATGCTCGTCCTCACCGGGGTCTTGGCCTGACTCCAGTTCGTCGCCGTAACAGAATTGAGTGGGCAAATGCTCACATTTGATGGCGTCTGGCACGTTGGAGAGGTGTTCTCTTCACGGATGAATCTGGGTTTGCATTGTTCAGGGCAGATGGCAGACAGTGTGTATGGCGTTGTGTGGGTGAGCGCTTTGCTGATGTCACTGTTGTGGATTGAGTGGCCCATGGTGGTGGTGAGGTATGGTATGGGCAGGCATCTGTTATGGTCGAAGAACACAGGTGCATTTTATTGATGGCATTGTGAATGCAACGAGATACCGTGATTGACCCATTGATTGAGATAGGCCCATTGTTGTGCCATACATCCATGAACATCACCTCATGTTTCAGCAAGATAATGCACGGCCCCATGTTGCAAGGATCTGTACACAATTCTTGGAGTCTTAAAATGTCCCAGTTCTTGCATGGCCATTATTCTCACCGGACATGTCACCCATTGAGCATGTTTGTGATGTGCTTGACCAGTGTATACAACAGCGTGCACCAGTTCCCACTGATATCCAGCAACTTGGCACAGCCATTGAAGAGGAGTGGACCAACATTCCACAGGCCACAATTGACAATCTAATAAACTCTATGTGAAGAAGATGTGTTACACTGTATGAGGCAAATGTGGTCACACCTGATACTGACTGGTTCTGAGTCCCCAGACCCCCAATATGGCAATATAATGCACATTTCAGAGTAGCCTTTTATTGTAGACCGTCTAAGGCACACTTGTGCACTAATCATGATGTCAGATCAGCATCTTAATGTGGCACACCTGTGAGGTGGGATGGTTTATTTCAGCAAAGCAAAAGTGCTCACTATCGCACATTTAGACAGATTTGTGAACAATGTTTGAGAGAACTGGTAGTGTGTTTCTGGAATGTATTTTAGATCTAAGTCCATCTCATGGAAAATGGGAGCAAAAACAAAAGTGTTGCATTTATATTTTGTTTGTACTTGTCTTGTGCACACTGGGGACTTTTGCAAATGTATTCCAATGTGGTTTAACTGCAAATGGCAAATAAATGAATCTCCATCCATCCATCCACCCATTTTCTTCCCCTTAATCCATTTCTGGGTCGGGGGGGTGGCAGTCAGAGTTGCACCCAGTACACATAGCACCAGCCCTTCACTGTTCCTCCTGCAGGTGGTGAGTCCACAGAAGCCTAGATCTTTCAGTGGGGGCTTCAGGCAAAGTGGGGTTAAGTGTCTTGCCCAAGGACACAGCGACAGCAGTCATCAGTGGGAGTCGTGAAGTAGGTCTTACGGTGGTCTCGAACCCATGACCTTCAGGCCCAAAGGCCAATGCTCTACCAACTGAGCCACTGTCGCCCCTATAAATGAATCTGAATCTGATATTCCATCTGTCTCTCACTCTGGTAACGTCTCAAGTCTCTCTCTGGTCTCTCTTTGCTCTCTTTCCCTGGACTCTCTCCCCGGTATCTCTCAATGGTCTCTCTCCCTCGAGTCTCTCTGGTCTCGCTGATCTCTCTCTTTCATCTTTATCTGCTCTCTGATCTCTCCCTGATCTACAGACTCTCTGGTCTCTCTCTCTCTGGTGCCCCTCTGGTTTCTCTTTCTGGTCCCTCCCTCTGGTCTCTGGTCTCTCTCTCTCTGGTTTCTGGTCTCTCCATGGTCTCTGTTTTTTTGAGTTCTGGCAGGATCAGAGCAGTTCCTCCGTCTGTCCCACTGAGGATGTGTGTCTGTCTGTTACCGGGGAGATTCCCAGTGCCTTTGATCTCTCTGCCCCGTCGTCATGGAAACAGCAGTGAGAAGGTATTTCCCCGTCTACAGCCCGAGATACATACACACATATTATACACATGCACACACACACATGCACACACACACACACACACACAAAAATACGTGCACAAACACACACATATGCACACACAAACACACACACACACAAAAACACATGCACAAACACACACACATACACAATCGCAAAGTAATCATTGATCTGGTGTTGTGACTTCCAGACAAGATGACTGTTATCCTGTCTCTGCAGCGCCCCCTGGAGCCTCACATTTCACATACTCACACCAGTTTCAATCTCAATATTGATTTACAACAATGTAATAAAAGATGATCAGTCCTAATGCGATATCTAAATATTTCTAGTAAAGACCTGGGACTTCTGCTAACTCTGACTGTGAGAGCTTCACTCACCCAAACACAGCTCCACAGCTCGTTACACTGTCCTTATGCAAAGTGTTGTCGTTCCTGTGACATAGCTCTTTTCCTGACCCAAATGAAAGCAGCTCTCTCTGGTCTCTCTCTGGTCTCTCTCTGGTCTCTCTCTGGTCTCTCTCTGGTCTCTCTCTGGTCTCTCTCTGGTCTCTCTCTAGTCTCTCTCTGGTCTCTCTCTGGTCTCTCTCTGGTCTCTCTCTGGTCTCTCTCTCTGGTCTCTCTCTGGTCTCTCTCTGTCTCTCTCTGGTCTCTCTCTGGTCTCTCTCTGGTCTCTCTCTGGTCTCTCTCTGTCTCTCTCTGGTCTCTCTCATGGTCTCTCTCTGGTCTCTCTCTGGTCTCCCTCTGGTCTCCCTCTGGTCTCCCTCTGGTCTCCCTCTAGTCTCCCTCTGGTCTCTCTCTGGTCTCTATCTGGTCTCCCTCTGGTCTCCCTCTTGTCTCTCTGGTCTCCCTCTGGTCTCTCTGGTCTCCCTCTGGTCTTTCTCTGGCCCCCCTCTGGTCTCCCTCTGGTCACCTTCTGGTCTCCCTCTGGTCTCCCTCTGGTCTCCCTCTGGTCTCCCTCTGGTCTCCCTCTGGTCACCCTCTGGTCTCCCTCTGGTCTCCCTCTGGTCTCCCTCTGGTCTCTCTTAGGTCTTTTTCTGGCCCCCCTCTGGTCTCCCTCTGGTCGCCCTCTGGTCTCCCTCTGGTCTCCCTCTGGTCTCCCTCTGGTCTCCCTCTGGTCTCCCTCTGATCTCCCTCTGGTCTCCTTCTGGTCTCCTTCTGGTCTCCTTCTGGTCTCCTTCTGGTCTCCTTCTGGTCTCCTTCTGGTCTCCTTCTGGTCTCCCTCTGATCTCCTTCTGGTCTCCTTCTGGTCTCCTTCTGGTCTCCTTCTGGTCTCTCGCTGGTCTCTCTGATCCATCTCTGGTTTCTTTCTGGTCTCTCTGGTCTTTCTGGTCTCTCTCTGGTCTCTCTGTCTTGTCTCTCTCTGTTCTCCCTCTGGTCTCCCTCTGGCCACCCTCTGGCCACCCTCTGGTCTCTCTTTGGTCTCTCTCTGGTCCCTCTGATTTATCTCTGGTCTCATTCTGGTCCCTCTCTGGTCTCTCTGGTCTCTATGGTCTCTCTGGTCTCTCTCTGATCTCCCTCTGGTCTCCCTCTGGTCTTTGTCTGGTCTTTGTCTGGTCTCCCCCTCTGGTCTCCCTCTGGTCTCTCTCTGGTCTCTCATGGTCTCTCTCTGGTCTCTCTCTGGTCTCTCTCTGGTCTCTCTTGTCTCTCTTGTCTCTCTTGTCTACACAGGGAGGTACGCCCGAGTGTACAAGCAACTGTGGCTGCGTAGGTCCAGGGCAACCACCAACGCAAGCAGTGACTGAGTATACACAAGCCTTAACAGTCTTGCATTCACTCAGTATCTAAGTCCTAAACCTCGACTATGACCTCACCTTTGTCCTGGGGTTCGGCTCTGCCCCTAATGCGCCCGCCTCTCTCCACTCGTTCTCTGTCTTCAGCTCGGTGTGAGCGCCCGTAGCTTCTGTCGTCTGGCTCATCTTTCCGTTCTCTGCGCTCTGCGGCGCCCTCTCGCTCCCGGTTATCACGGGATTCGCGGTTTGACTCACGGCGTTCCCTTCCTTCTCTCTCATCTCGTGATTCGGAGTCAAAGTGACGATCTTCACGGCCGCCATCTTTATCTCGTTTGGAGCGGCTTTCTGCTGGACACAAACACATCTTAATAGTTTGTAATACTTGTGTTTTCTGCTGTATTTGCTATTCAAACTGAGAAAGACCAGGGTAGATGAGGAATAATTCGGAAGGAGATAGGTCCTTCCTCTGGACTCCGTTCAATTCCACAAGGTATAGAAACTTTAGAGAGTCAGACCAGGGACCTCACCTCAGAGACCTTTGACACTTTAAGTAGAGGACGTGGCGCTGGATGAAGAAATTTACAGAATCTTTTGCAGGCTGACCCATGTCAGAGGACCTCAGCATGATGGCATCCCTTATGTTTGGTAATGGCCGCATTGACCAGCTCCAGAGACGACCACATATATGATCTGTGCTATGGACATGGCTCTGGTGAGTGGACAATCATCTGAGAGAGATTCTTCACGACAAGGTCTACTTCCAAGGTTGACAGCTCCTGCTACGACATTAGTCCATATTTGACCAGCAAGGTTTCTCTACAGCCCATTTGCAATGGCAAGCCAGCCTCTAAACAGGCTCACTCATAAACTGAATATAATGAAGACAAGCATTGGATTAGAGCAGCTAGCCTTTAGCTTCTAGCCTCTAACTCTTCACTACTGGAGCCACGCGATGTTCGACTATCGAGAGCCAGTACCAGCTAGTGGTTATAATCTCGACTGTTTGGTTCCAATGTAAGTCTTTCACACTCACCATCTCTGCGTTCTCTCTCCCCTCTGCTCCGGTCTCGGCCTCGGCTGTGGTCCCTGCTCCTTTCTTGACTCCTGTCTCTGTCTCTGCTCTTGTCCCGGTCCCTGCTCCGGTCCCTGCTACGATCTCTGCTACGATCTCTGCTTCGGTCTCGGCTCTGGTCTCGGCTGCGGTCTCGGCTGCGGTCTCGGCTGCGGTCTCGGCTGCGGTCTCGGCTGCGGTCTCGACTGCGGTCCCGGCTCCGGTCTCGGCTCCTGTCCCTGCTCCTGTCCCTGCTCCTGTCCCGCTCTCGGCTCCGGTCACGGCCCCTGGAGTGCCTCCTAGCTGGGCTGCGTCGGTCGGAGCGTCTGGGCGGGGGCGGAGAGGGCTCCTGGAGGGGGGAGGAGGAGCGAGACGAGGCAGAGCGGTGACGAGCGGCCGGAGATGAGGACCTCTGGTAGTGAGCAGGAGACACAGACCTAAGCACAGACAGAAGCACATTTCTCTAAAACTTCTTACTGTGTAGTAAGGAGTTAATGGGGACCAAAGCTGGTTGGTCAGATTCTACACTGAGTGTATATTCTCATGGCACTGTACCGACGCGGTGGAGATCTCTGGGCCTTTGCTGCGGTCTTTGGTGAGCTCTTCTTTTGTGTCGGAGGAGGAGACGCACTTCCCGATCGCTCCTCTGATGACACTACACGTTTAGCCTTGTGGGCACTGTCCCATCGATCTCTGAGGGACACAAAACATTGCTATTAAAGCTGGGGTAGATCTACAGATGTAGATCATCCAACAGAAAGAGTCTTCACCGGCGTTTCTCCTTCTTCTCCTTGTGTTTCTCCACCTCCTTCTCACGCTCCTTCTCCTTCACCTTCTCCTCAGACTTCTCCTTGTTCTTGTGTTTGGTTTTGTGCTTCTTCCCACTCACCGGCAGTTCCAGGGGCACCGGTGGAGGGGGGCTGGGGGTGCGGGGTCCCTTCTTCTTACTGTGGGCGCCTTTAGACGACCTGGGACAGCCACAGGAGCTACTTGGGGATCATGTTTTCCTCATACTTCATATGGGTCTCTCATTTGTGGAACATTGTGAACTGTTAATACACTGGAAAGGTGACCAGGGAGAGCCCTCTGTGCAGCTAATTCTCGCAACAAAACAATAATTAATCATATCTTAAACATTGAAGTCAGAATACTCTTTGAATAATTAAGTAAAACTTTTATAAAATAATCAGATCCAAAAGATGAGTTATGAACCACTCATCACAAAGAGGGGATAAAACAGTACACCCCACAAACAGTTGTTTGAGATCCACAGTTTGATTCGACCACTGGGTAAGGTGAAAGATACCCCCAAACAAAAACTTGTGCAGTGTCTAAGCTCACAAGGGGGTACACAGGAATACAGAGAATGGGAACCACTGGACAAGTGCATAGATTTATTTGATTGGAGGTTCGTGAAGCAGGTGTTTGAAGCAGTGTTAGTTCAGTGTAGTGTTTCACCTCTCGGTGCCCGGAGACACCGCTGCTGCTGCTGCCTTCTTCTCCTTCTTTCCTGAGCCGGAGGTCTTGGCGCTGCCTTTGTGTTTGGGAGAAGAACTGGGCTTTCTGTGGGGAGAGTCTTTCGACCGGATTGGCTCAGGAGACTCCTGCAGAGCAGAGAAACAGCCTCCAATGAGTAAAAGTTAAAACTGTCTCCATTGACAGTCAGATTGAGTCCATGAGTGCGTTTACAAGGCAGAAGAAAATATGGAGTGCACTAAAAAAAAACAAATCTTGTTGCTTCAAACCAGTCTGACCACTGTAAGATCTGGTCCCCATGGATTTTCCCTGTGGTTTTAAATCTGCTGGCCTCATCGAAGTAGAATCCAGTCTTTCACCTTGCTCGGCCCTGCGCTCCGACTCTTCCCTCCGCCCTCCTCCTTCTTGCAGACCATCTCGTCTCTCTTGTCCTGGTTCTCCTGCTCCAGCTTTAGCAGTTCTCTCTGGATCTTCTGCCTCTTCATCTCCAGGGACAGCTCGTAGTCGTAGTCCCCGATGTCGGAGTCTTAACACAGAATGTTGATAAAGCTTGTTCAAAGCAAAGGAGTATGAGCCGTTTATTTGCATAGAGCAATAATCTATCCTTATGTTTGTCCTATAATTCAAACCTAAAATAAGTGAATCATTGAGTGCATGACTTTAGACCAGCTTTTCAGAGGGTCGTATTTCACTGCATTATGAGGTCAGTTTCAACAGTAAAAAAAACCCCATTATATATAAAATCACTAATACTTATAAAACCCATGTCTCCTCATAGACCTAATTTGGGATCAAACTCTGGTAATTTGCCTGGACTATCTCTCTCAGACTTGAATCAGACAGGCGACTCACCTTCTCTGCTCTGCTCCCACTCGGGAGCCTCTTCGTCGCTGTTGGGAGTTCTCTCTTTAGTGATTTTAATGTCTTCTTTTTCTCTGTGTCTTCCTCTGGACGAGTCTCTCTGCATCAACGCAATCACATTTAAACTTAATTCCACATTCTCTGCATCATATGGTCTCCATATGTTTTCTGCTTCTGTCACATCCTACGACATGAATATTAATAAAAGAGTGTTAAATGGTGGGACTCACTCTGGTTGTGGCGGTTGGAGGTTCGTCTGCGTCACGTTTCACATTCTCTGAGTCCACATCTTGTCTCTTGTTTTTCATCCTCTCGCGCAGATCTCCGGTGGGCCTCTCCGCAGACCTGGTGGGTCAAAAAGTTCTCATTAGCTAGCACAGGCTTGTGATGGGTTTACGGCTGTGTGCTTTTCTCACAGACTGAAGCTGAATTTGCCGCGCGGCTGAGGTCCATGTGTGTAACGGCACGTGGTTCCGTAGCTGCAGCTTCCGGTTTTCAGCCAATTTCTACACTGACTCTGCAACAGTAAAATGACAGGTCTAAAACATGACTAATGCAGGATTAAAGCAGGTCTAAAACAGGACTAAAGAAGTTCTAAAACAGATCTAAAGCAGGACTAAAGCAGTTCTAAAACAGGACTAAAGCAGGACTAAAGCAGGACTAAAGCAGGACTAAAGCAGGACTAAAGCAGGACTAAAGCAGGACTAAAGCAGGACTAAAGCAGGACTTAAGCAGGACTTAAGCAGGACTTAAGCAGGACTTAAGCAGGACTTAAGCAGGACTTAAGCAGGACTTAAGCAGGACTTAAGCAGGACTTAAGCAGGACTTAAGCAGGACTTAAGCAGGACTTAAGCAGGACTTAAGCAGGACTTAAGCAGGACTTAAGCAGGACTAAAGCAGGACTAAAGTAAGTCTAAAGCAGGACTAAAGTAGGTCTGGTCTTTGGTCTGATCTCTCATCTCTGTTCTTGGGTCTGGTCTAGTCTAGTCTAGTCTAGTCTAGTCTAGTCTAGTCTGGTCTGGTCTGGTCTGGTCTGGTCTGGTCTTAGGTCTAGCAGTAGGGCCATCTGTACTCTGTCGCAGGCTTTCAAAGTGAGTGTCTGGAAAAGCAATGTTTCAGCCTTTTCCCTCTGGCCGACGATATTGTTGGCTGAAATGCAGGACATGGATATGATAACAGCTTCTTTCCATAAGCTGTTGTATCCATGTTCTTGCTGATGCACACTGGTGACTTTTGCCCATGTATTCCAATGTGGGTTTACTGCAAATGGTAAGTAAACTGAATCTGAATCTGTCTCTGGTCTTCTGGCTACACTCTCTTGTTATCTGGTCTGATCTGAGGTCTATGGTAAGTAAGTAAGTAATCTTTATTTATATACCGCCTTTCGCAGACCAGAGTCACAAAGCGGTTTATACGTGTTATTTTTTGGGCATTTGTCCTCTCACTCCACACAGAGATGGGAGCGGGGTCGCCAGTACAGGAGGCGCATGCCAGACCTATTGTACATATGGTCTCACCTCGGCAGCAGGGCCCGCCGTACTGGGTCCCAGCCTTTCAAACACACTGGGGCGCCTGGAGGAGGGAGGGAGGGGTGCGGAGCTGCTTGAGTCTGAAATGGTCTTTGAATTCTCCACTGTGACTTTCCGCCTGATCTTGGACATTCTGCAGAGCTGCAATTAAAAACACCGAGAAGCTATTAGAACTGCAGATAGAAACACAATCAAAGGAGGTCCACAATGTCTTCCACTGAGGTCCATGATGCCTCGTTACATGATCATCTATAACTAAACAGTTTTTTCAGTTTATATGTAAATATGAAATACCATTTTGAGATATCTGAAGGAATATAGCTTTGTAATGTCTATTCTACATATTTTTAATATGCTGTATTAATGCATATGTTTTTGAGGACCCACGGGAGAGAAGGGAGTGTACCACCTGTTATCATGGTTAAGAATTATGACAGCCAGGAGCATTTTCAGGTAATCATCGTGGTATCGAACGAAGTCTATTCACTAGTATCGACAGGCACTTTCAAAGTGGTGACGACAGAGTAACAAAAGCAGTGTAACGGTCATACTTGATATATCACAAACTATATCAACTACATTAAAACCATCTACAGGTAAATATACAACTGAGAGATTTACATTGGAATCTCACTGCTGTGCCTGATGTTCAGTCAGTGAGAATATATTATTGCATTCTTTAGTTGGCCTTAAGTCGAGGAAGTTCAAAATTATGCCAATATAAGAACACACAATATAAAGTTTCTAACAAAGTGAGGAAACTCATTCATTGGAACTCACACCTGCTCAAAACAACTATTGTCAACAGAGCACAACACCTGTTATTTGCTTTATTACGACATATACAACTTCATTACCAAACTACTTATACCTATTAATACTTGTAACAAATGATTAGTGTTCTTGTTAAGTAGACATAACAGCGTTTAGACCTACAAAGACAGCTTTAAACGTTAGAATTATCGCTGGTGGTGCTAACAGGCTAACGGCTAATTCCATCAGTTGGGCACAACGCGGCGGGTGTTACCGGCCACACAAAGCCTGGAATAAACACAGAGACCCGGGCACAGCTCACCCAGGATCAGTATTCGGTCGTGCATCGACTTAAGTCTGGCTGTGGGTCCGTTTTGTGCAGAAAAGAAGCCGTTATAGGATAAGATCTCACGATTCACGAGCCGCGCCGAGGTCCAACATGGCGGCGCTGTGACGTCATTGTAAAAATTATACGAATAAAATAAAGCGAAAACTAAATAGATTAAAATGTACAATTTAAAGCTTGGGTACCTAACGTTTTTATTCATAAATAAAATGTAGGCCTAGTGTGTCCAACAGTTCACAACCTGTTCATCTATTGTGTAAGAAAGAGCCCTGGAAGTCACAATTTGACTCTAAAGGCTGAGGACTGATTAGTGATCTAAAGATGTGACAGAGACCGAAAATACATGATGTGAAAACTGGTGATGGAAGCAACTACCCAAGCTTAAAATATTTTTTAAAAAGGCACCGGCATTAAATTAATACATGTAATTAAATAAATGGGAAGTAAAAAGGTAAACACGGTAAAAATAGAGGCAATAAATAAACAAAAAAAACACAATACATACTCGCTGTCCTTTCTTTCTGATTGCTATTTTCACACTCGTTACAATAATGAATACTGATGACGTCATTGATAGCCGTGTGATTTCAGTGAGACCACACCACGTCTCTTGATGCTGTTCATATATATTTTTTTCATAGTCTTAATTGTTATGCTTTCCTTTGGTCTAGTGTCTAGATTGGAAGCCTCTTGAATGTACACAAAACTCAGTTCTATGTCTATCGAAAACTTATAAGCTGAATGTCTGTATATATGTATAATATATGTAAATATAAAATAACATTTTAAATAAAAGAGATCAAACCACATCATTACTTACCTCTACCTCCAGATGGGAGTGTTGCTCACCCTCATCATCAAGAATACCTCTCACAACAAATGCTTTTATTTTCTACTTTCTCCTATAAAAAAAACCAATATTAGTATTAGATAGCAATATGGCCTACGTGCAGGACTGTACAAGGACTCTACAAGGACTCCATGTTATGACTATGATGTGACTGTCTCTTTGTGACACGTATGTCTTTCGATGTGTGACGTGACAATGACTATATAAACTGTGTACTGCCTTTATTCTGTCTGAGGGAAAGAAACAGAGTAAAACAGTGGAACTTGAGAGCAACTTAAATAAACTTCCAGAGTTTGGCACACCACGATCCGTCTCTGTCTGCTAAATCCTTACAGATTTGGTGGAGAATGCGCGGCTCGGTTTGTGCCATTCTCTGGATTGTTTTGAGGGAGCTTGCTCTGTTTCTTTTCCTCTGCGTGAGAGATCGGCATGCTGTGTCTGGGAGCGGAGATTCCAGCAGGCTGGAAGAGCTGTTCCTGGATGCTTCTTGTCGCTTCTGTCACTTTTGTTTTTTAAATTGAAGATTCCGACGCGGAAAAGAGTTGGCAGACCTCTCGGACAGTCCTTGGAACCGGTTTGACAAGAATAAGGTAAGCAGACACCTTTTTTAATATGTAAAGTCTGCATAATTGGATATTAGCTAAATTTTGGTGTGTTTTTTGGGGTCTGTCAAACTCTCTAAATTGTATTTTGAAGAAGTCTCGGGGTTAAAGTCCCTTTGAGCCTCGGGGTTAAAGTCCCTTTGAGAAAGTCTCGGGGTTAAAGTCCCTTTGAGCCTCGGGGTTAAAGTCCCTTTGAGAAAGTCTCGGGGTTAAAGTCCCTTTGAGAAAAGCCTCGGGGTTAAAGTCCCTTTGAGAAGAAGCTTCAGGGTTAAAGTCCCTTTGAGAGAAACCATGGTGAATTAAAAGTAATTATAAAAAGGGAAACGTTAAACACTAAAGAGTGCCTTTTGTTACTAGTGTGGAAAGTGATCACTTCTAGATTTGGATGACAAAAGTATAAAGAACAACATAAGTTATATTCGCTTAACAAAGTAATCTTGAAAGTTCTTCTTCTGTATCTTTCTGCCTGTGTGTGCGCGTCTGTGTGAAAGGAACCCCCCCCGCCCTCGCTGCTGCTGAGCTGCTGCTCTGATTTAAAGGGGAGCTACTGCTTTAGGAATTTGGCTTTTCATAGTAGTTATTCCGTTAAATTTGCTAAATTTGCCATTTGAACATTGTGTTAGACACAGTTAAACGTTTTTAAACACCATTAGGGAATAGAAGTTTTGAATTAGTATGTTTTTGAAACCCAAAGATTAGTACAAAAAGCTTTGCTTTTCTTTTTAAATCTGCTGCTTATTTTGTGAGTCCATTATTGTATCTCTGATATATTTCATAGCTGTTTGTGAGAATTTTTTCATGTATTTTTTATTTTAGTTACAAAAGCCGTTTTTCAAACATTTAAATTAGAATCTGTTAAAAGTGATTAATGATTGTAGACTTCGTCTAAAAAAGAAAGAGGGAATTAGGCTGTAAAAGTATTATATTATTAAGTTAAACTACCCAATTCACCCAATTCACATTCAAGTGGTGACTTTTGTTTTTGTTTTGACTACACGCGTGACCTTGCTGCTGCTCAGAGACATGAGGAGGCAGCTCCGACGCACAATTGAGTTTTATTGAACCAAATCCAGTTTAGCTGGAGCTAAATCTTTTGTTTGATTTCAAGTTTTGTTTTAAATGTTTTTACAAATTAATGTTCATTTTTATAGAGATTTTTCATAATTTCATTTCATGGCGTCTTTCAAGAAACCCAAGGACGCATAGATAATTAATCACACAGTACAAAAGTATATAATACATGTTTTAAAGTTTAAAAGGTTGTTTGTTTTGAGTATAATTGTTGTTTTGATAACTTCTTTAGTTTCTGGTTTTAAAATGTCATCATTAGTAAGAGAATAAGTAATCTTTATTTACATAGCGCTTGGGAAAGCCAGAGCGCTCAAATTGTTTTGACTTCAGAGAGAAAAACAATCTCATTCGCATACTGATATCTATTGTTTTTTTAAATTGGCTGTTTCAAGGATTGTTTTTCAGACTCTGGCACACTGTGGGAGAGGTCACTGCTGGACACTGGACAGCGCAAAGCCCACCCAGCCACAGGTCACAGATCAAAGAGCAAAAGGAAATGCCACCTCCTTGCCCCTCCCCACGCCACTCCAGAGATGAGTGGGTGTGAGAGAGACCGGGGCATGAAAGAGAGGTATCTGGAGACGTGATGGTGGAGCGTCAGGGAAAGACCTAGAGGGAGTTGAAAGTGTGTCCAGTTGGTTTACATCACCACAGTGTGACCTTTGAGACCTACAGGTGGTTCGTGGAGTCTGGAGAGACAACCCCAAAATTCATATACACACACACACACACACACATACACACACATACACTCACACATTCACATTTACATATAGATACATGAAAAAGCAGAACATGAGGAAAAAAGCATTTTAAAAGTTTACTCCAATGTAAACACATATTTTTAATTGTCTATCACTTGAATCTTTGTTGAATCAGTATTTTTTGAGACCAGAAATGTTCATTTGAATTCTATATTGTCATGGACATAATTGACGTCTGTCCTGACACTTTTGATTTGTTGATTTTGTACTGTGTGAAGTAATTACATTGATTAGAATTAGATCTGATAAAAACACAAATTAGAGAAGTAAACTGAATCATTGCGCTTGCCTTTTGTCTAAGGGACATTTGCAACAGCATGAATAGAAATTGTGTTCAAGTAGAATCAAAGTGACTTAACCATAGAAAGTAACTATTGCATCACAAGCTGTGTACAGGAACTGAGACTGCACCATTGACCAGAAGTGCATCCCAAGTGACCTGATGTGCTTCAACTGAAAAGACTGTATCTGGAGATCTGATGTGCATCTGGAGACCAAAACTATGGCTTGGACCCTACTGATGTCCAAGATGACCTGACCTGATGACGACTGAGACTCACCCTCAGAGGACCCTGAGGACCTGAGGATCTGAGAGAGAGAAAACTGGGGAGTGATGTTTATATTATTGAAATAATGCCATTGATGAGTGCTAATTGAGAGAGATACTCATGATTCTTTCTTTTGTTTTTGTTTGTCCCTAGCTTCTGGACATCTGATGATCTATTGGACACAGCCATTTGCAGAAC